GGAGGCTCAGAAAAAGCTTCTTGGAGGAAATGAGGTCTAGGTTGAGTCCCAAGGAACTAGTAGGAGCTGCAGGAATATGGGGGTGGGCGGGGAGAGAAAGGAGATTCAGGCAGAGACAACAGGTGCAAGGGCCTCGAGACAAGAGCCTGTTAATCCCAGGGAACTGCAGGTGGTCCTACTTGGCTGAAGCATGGGATGCAAGGCAGGAAGTGGAAGGAGACAAGCTGGTGGGATGAGTGACAGGAAGTGGAGGGAGACAAGCTGATGGGATGAGTGACAGGAAGTGGAGGGGGAGAAGCTGATGAGGTGACAGGCAGGTCACGGGGGCCTTGCAGGCTACACAGAGGACTTTGGACTTGCACGGACTTAGCCAGTGATACGGAGAGTGGATCAGAGGGCACCGGTGAAGGCTGGAAGGCAGGGACTCCAGCACAAAGGCTGTCATTGCTTTTGGATCCAACCACATTCCCTCCACTGCGGTGTCTCTTACCCACAGGGCAATTGGTTTTCTGGAGGATTCTTAGGCAGCAAGGCCCGCTTTATTTTTCTTAAGATATATTTATTTATTTGAGAGGCAGAATTACAGAGGAAGGGAGAGAGACACAGAGAGAGAGAGGTATTCCACCCACTGGTTCACTCCTCAAAGGGCTGCAATGGCCAGAGCTGGGCCGATCTGAAGCCAGGAGCCAGAAGCTTCCTTCGGTCTCCCATGTGGGTGCAGGGGCCCAAGCACTTGGGTCATCTTCCATTGCTTTCCCAGGCCATTAGCAGGGGGCTGGATTGGAAGTGGAGCAGCTGAGACTCAAACCAGTGCCCATGTGGGATGCCAGCACCGCAGGCACAGGATTAACCTTCTACACCACAGCGTCGGCCCCAGGACCAGCTTCTTTCTAATGAATCAACATCAAATGCTGCAGACAGCACCATGGGTGAGCTTTGAGGAAGTGAAAGCTGAGGGACTCAGTTTTCAAAGCCTAGCTTTGAAGGGCCCAGGGAATGACACCCCCAGCGCTGCAGAGAAGTTGGCCTCTGCTTTCCCTGGAAGCCTGGCTGTTTTCTGGGCCCAGGGAACATCCCAGAACAGGAAATGGCTTCTCAGACATGAGAGCTGAATGTCAAGGCGGAGGAGAAAGTGAAGTTCCAGACAGTTCCACCCTGATGTTCATGCCACACCCCAGTGAAAACATGCCTGACTCACAGACCACATCAGCCCCGGGACGCAGGGAAGCCAGGCCGTGTGCTGCTGCCCAGCCTCTCAGAGTTCTGTCTCCCACACCCACAGTGGGCACACGTGCTGGGGTAGCTCTCTGGCATCCATAGAGGGAGGAAGGGTAGCCCCTACCCATGCCCACCTCCATTCTCCATGACTCCAGCCACCTCCCTCTTCCTCCCCTGAGCTTTTAGCTCCAAGCTGCAGCTGAGTGGGGTGAGGGAAAGCAGCTGATTACGATCAGGGACAAAGAGGAAATATTTGAAGCCATTCCAGGGGCCACAGAACTGGGAGTGTCTGCAGCTGATTCAACAGACGTGGAGGAAGAAAAGAGTCAAGAAAGTGAACAGATTTAGGATCAAAATCCCAATGCGACCACATGGACCTGAGCACCTGGGGCAGATTCTCTCTGCTGAGTTTCAGTTGCCTTGACTCTAAAATGGGAACAGTGTCTCATTTGAAGGCTGCTGGAGAGCATCTTGCCCAACATCTGAACTAGAACAGGAGCTCGTGAAATATGGATTCTTTTTTTTTTTTTTTTTTGACAGGCAGAGTGGACAGTGAGAGAGAGAGACAGAGAGAAAGGTCTTCCTTTGCCGTTGGTTCACCCTCCAATGGCCGCTGCGGCCGGCGCACTGCGGCCAGCACACCGCGCTGATCCGATGGCAGGAGCCAGGAGCCAGGTGCTTCTCCTGGTCTCCCATGGGGTGCAGGGCCCACGCACCTGGGCCATCCTCCACTGCACTTCCTGGCCACAGCAGAGAGCTGGCCTGGAAGAGGGGCAACCGGAACAGAATCCGGTGCCCCGACCGGGACTAGAACCCGGTGTGCCGGCGCCGCAAGGTGGAGGATTAGCCTAGTGAGCCGCAGCGCCGGCTGAAATATGGATTCTAACAGCAAGTACTGCCCACACACCTCATAACATACATGCTATAGTCTTTTATTTGTGCTAGACGTGATTCCCAGCTCATCTTGCAGGCAGCTTGAGGGCACCAACTCTGTATTACACAACCTTTCCTCCCCATGCATCTCACAATGTGGGCCTATGCCTATTTTCTGGCTGGTTGATGCACTCAGGTATCAAAATCCCTGAGAGAACGATTGTACCAAACCAAGAGTCTTTGGCATCCAAGATACACAGGATTCCCCTTTAATAAGAAGATGAAGGGCATCTGCACATCTTTCTTCCACTAGTTAGAGGTAGCTTAGAAGTAGTCCATCAGTAGGAGACAGAACGGGAAGTAGTGGTGAACCCCGGAGGGCTGGAGCTACAGTGTCAGGGAGGACCTACTGCTTGCCAGTGGTGTCTGTCACCTCGGGTGAGTAATTGGACCTCATCTGTAAAGTGGGCAGTGCTACCTCAGAGAGTGCTGGGAGCACTTACAGAGTGTCAGGCATGGGGTTCATGTTCCAAATGAAATCTTCATCATGGTCAGCTCAGTTCCATTTGCCGGGTAGGAGTCTCTTATTGACCGGCAACATGGAAATCTCACTCTAGGTAGAGATCCTGCCACCTGTAATGGGGAGTCCACACTGAGTGGCTAAGGGGAGCTACAGGGCTGAGCTGCCTTTTTGCCATATGACAAGTGACTTTGTGGAAGTGCCTTGAAAACTATAAAATGTATTACAAATATCAGCACTATAGCTTTGGGTTTATCCTATACAATCGAGAAGCAAAATTGTAAACACAATCCCAGTTCCTACTTTGACAACTTACCATGAACTAGATGCTCACTGCTTTCTACAGCCATACTCACTCACTGTTCTCAATGACTCTGTAAAGTTACAAGTATTTTTATCCTTGTTTTATTTATTTATGGAGATCTTATTGGCTTTATTTACAGTTCTACAGTTGAGCAACATTCAAGTCCATAAAGCAGAATAAGTGTTCCTAATCTCCATTTTATTTGAAAGGCAGTTACACACATACACACACACACACACGAGACAGAGATCAAGATCTTCTATCTGCTACTTCTTTCTCCAAATGGGCGAAACTGCCAGGGCTGGGACAGGCCAAAACCAGGAGCCAGGGACTCCATCTGAGTCTACCATGTGGGTGGCAGGAACCCAAGTACTTGGACCATCATCTGCTGTTTCCCACCTGCATTAGCAGGAAGGTAGATTGGAAGCACAGGCAACACGGTGTCCCAGGGACTCTGATATGGGATGCAGCTGTCCCAAGCAGTGGTGACCTGCTACACCATGATGTCTGTACCTCCGCACCCCCATTCTGAATATGAGGGGAGTACTATTCAGAGACTCACGGTCCCACACAGCATTCAAATTTGTGTTGGTTGGTTATCAGGTCTATGCTTCAAAAATTTTATTGATTGATTGATTTTCATCTTATATAAAAGGCAGAGAAAACAACAGACAGACAAAGATAGAGCTTCCATCTGCTGGCTCACTTTTCCAATTCCCACAACAGCCAGGAGTAGGCCAGGTTACTGGCAGGAAGTCGAGTACTTGAGCTGTCATCTGCCACCTCCCAGGATGCATGTTAGCAGGAAGTTGGATCACAAATGGAGAGGCAGGGGGCGAGGGCTGTGGCTCAGCAGATTAAAACTGCAGCCTGCAGTGCCAACATTCCATATGTGCACTGGTTCGAGTCACGGCTATTCCACTTCCAATTCAGCTCTCTGCTAATGTGCTGGGAATTGGGAAAGCAGTAAAAATGGCCCAAGTGCTTGGGTCCCTGCCATGTACGTGGGAGACCCAGAAGCTCCTGGCTCCTAGCTTCAGCCTGGCTTAGCCCTGGCTGTTGCAGCCATTTGGGGAATGAACCAACAGATGTAACTCTGTCTTTCAAACAAATAAATAAATCTTTAAAAAAAAAAGAAGAAGAAAAAAAGAAAAGAAATGGAGGAGCTGGAGCCAGTGTTGTGGTACAGCAGGTTAAGTCATTGCCAATCATTGCCAACAATGTTGGCATCCCATAAAGGTGTCAGTTCTAGTCCCAGCTGCTCCACTTCTGATCTAGCTCTCTGCTAATGTACTCAGAAAGCAGCAGAAGATGGCCCAAGTGCTTGGGCTCCTGCACCCATGTTGGAGAACCAGATGCAGCTCCTAGCTCCTGACTTCAGCCTGGCCCAGCCCCAGCTGTTGTGGCCATTTGGGGAGTGAACCAAAAGATGGAAGATCTCTCTCCCTTTTTCTCTGTAACACTGCCTTTCATATAAATAAAATAAATCTTTAAAAAAAGAAAGGAAGAAATGAAGGAGCTGGAACCGAAACCCAGACACTCTGATACAGGATGTGGGCATCCTAAGTGGCGTCTTCATGTGTTCTCAAGTCTATGCTTTTAACTACTGTGTTATATGTATGGACTGACTATGGATGTTCTAAGATGCATAAGATGCCAGTGAGCTCAAGATTTCCAGCCAAATGCTAGTAATTCTCTTAGATTCTGGGAGTTCTGCCTCTTCCCTTCAACAGGCATCATGGCATCCCAGCTTTACCGTTTAAATCTCCTGAAAGCCATCTTCCTTTCCCTCATTCCAAGTCAACCATTTCAAGCTTAATTTGTCTACCTTTGAAAGAGTGTGGGCTCAGCTAACCCTGGTAGGATTTAAAATTCCAGTTTGTGAGTGTAATGTTTTGCAACCTAGCACAGAGATCATTTTGTTTTCTGGCTAGGACGTTAAAACAAAACATACTAATCTCCTCCTCCTCCCCAAAAAGAAATCTTTTTGAAATCAAACCAGCACTTTGTAGTTTAGGAGTAAAAAAAAAAAAAAAAAAAAAAAAGACAGCAAGCAACAGCAACTTATTTTGCTTTAATAGCCCAAAATAATTGTGTAGCGGGACCATGTTGCAAAACAAGGCAGAAATCTAGACGAGTACGTCTCACTCTGAGGAAAAACTGATTGGAGAGAAGGCACCAGAAGTTGCACTTTGTTGGGTAAAATGTAAACAGTAAATGGGGGAACGATTCCCGAAGGGGAAAGCAACTGGCACTGGCACTGCACTGGCATAGCCCCAGGATGGAAAGGGGCCTCTCGTGGATGCCCACCCTCCTCCTTCCACAGCAGTGTAATGGTACCTGAGGCTAGGAGGCAAGCACCCACCCAGGGGCAGTGCAGGAGGGCAGGATCAGGGACTGACGTTAGCAGAAACCTCGGGGCCCCTCCCTCCTTCCCACGTGGCTCCCAAGGGCCTCTCAACCAGCAGTGCCTCACGAACGCGCTGTTTGGCAACAGTTAGTGTAAAGATCAAATCCCAGAAAGTCGGGGCCTATCCACTTTGTTTCCGTCCATGCTCTTCAATCAGATGACTTGGGGCGGAGGGACGTACATCATCTGGTCTGTGTTCTTAGGTGATGACGGTGGGTGCAGTGCGTCCTGTCCTTTCTTGGAGTTGGGACACCTTCAGAGCAATGGAAATGAGGGGAGCCAACATGACCTGAGGGAGACACAAAGAGAAAAGCCTCTTCTATCACTTCCTCTACAAACACGGATCCATAGCTCCAGCCCTAACTTCACCTGTGAGCTCTAAACCCATATGTCGCATGCCTGTTCCCATGTCTCCAAGCTAAAACTAAATACATGTCCTTCCTCTCCAACTCCAGGGAACCCACACCGCTGTCTGTTATATGGAATGAACAGCTACCAATCAACTCGATACCTTCCTCTCCAACTCCCCTTGTCCAATCCATCAGCAGGCCCGAGTGACATTTACCACCTCTTGATGTCCATGGGTCAGAAAAACTTATCTTTCATTGATTCTTTGTACCTACCTTATAGCAAGCATTTATCTTGAAGACAAACACAATTTCCTCCCTTCTGCCCTCTTGTGTTAATATTCAAAGTGTCTAGGAAGCAGACTTCACTGCCTTTGGTTTAAGTTTTAGGGATGCCAGCAACACAACAGGGATCTGGCAATGATTAAAACTGGAGTCTGGCCCCTAGGAAACATGTACAAGGCAAGCATTCTCTCACCTCCCCCTTTCCATAATGAAAGCTATTATGCTTGGGGCCGGAGGCATGGTGTAGTAGGTTAATCCTCTGCCTGAGGCACCAGCATCCCATATGGGCACTGGTTCTAGTCTCGGCTGCTCCTCTTCCAATCCAGCTCTCTGCTATGGCCTGGGAAAGCATTGGAAAATGGCCGAAGTCCTTGGGACCCTGCACCTGCGTGGGAGACCAGGAAGAAGCTCCTGGTTCCTGGCTTTGGATTGGCACAGCTCCGGACATTGTGGCCATTTGGGGAGTGAACCACTGGAAGGAAGACCTTTCTCTCTGTCTCTCCTTCTCACTGTCTTTAACTCTACCTCTCAAATAAATAAATAAAATATTAAAAAAGAGAAAGCTACCATGCCACTTACAGAGGGTGTCTTGCCAATTTCATAGACACAGGAAGTAGACTGGAGTTACCAGAGAATGGGGGGAGGAGAAATGGGGAAGCGTTGTTTAGTGGTGCAGGGTTTGTTTTATAAAATTAAAGTCTACTCAACCATACACTTAAGTTAAGATAGTAAATATTATGGTTCTTACCATAATTTTTCAAAAAAAATTAGACTAAAAAATGAACTGTAAGAGCGGCTCTTTCTCAAAAGTTTATCCTATTGCCAGCCTTAGGGTTTATGCACTTTAAAAGATTTATTTATTTACTTGTTTATTTATTTGAAAGGCAGAATTATATAAGGAGAGGAGAAGACAGAGGTATAGAGATATACATATAGATAGATAGATAGATAGATAGATCAATCTTCCATCCATTGCTTCATTCTCCAAATGGTCACAATGGCCAGGCCAGATCCAGGCTGAAGCCAGGAGCCCAGAACTCCACCTAAGTCTCCCACAGGGGTAGCAGGAGCACAAGTACTTGGGCCAACTTCCGCTGCTTTCCCAGGTACACTGGTAGGGAGCTGGATCAGAAGTGGAGCAGTCAGCCAGAACTCAAACCTGCGCTCTGACGTGCGATACCAGTGGTATGAGAGAGGCTCAATCTGCTACACTACAACACCAGCCCCACAAGCATTTTTCATTCATTGTCTCCTTAAATCCCTACAACTCTACGACTTAGGCATCAGTCTGCCACTTTATAGACAAGGAAACCATGACACACAAAATTGAAAGGATTTGTCCAAGGATACACAGTTAATAAGTGGCAGCAACCAAATTTAAAACAAGATGTCTCTAACTCTGAAACCTATGCTCAAAACCATTATGCCAGGGGTTTCCAAATGAGTTTTATAGGAATTTTGTTAGAGTTAGAACAAAAAGGCTTTGTGGGAAACTATGCATGACAAATGCTGTTGGTTTTAATTTTAAAATAGTTGCTTGTATTTAAGGTATACAACATGATGTGTTGATTATATACATACATATATAGAGAACCAATTATTATAGTCAAACTAATTAACATATCAGTCTCTTCACCTATTTACATTTTTTGCTGTGATGTTGGTAGTGAGGACACTTAAGATCTACTGCCTTAGTAAATTTCAGATATACAATACAGTATAATTCATTACAGTTCCCATGTTATACATTTGATATCTGGATCTCATTTGTCCTACTTAATTGAAATTTCATACCCTTGGACCAAACTCTCCCCATTTCCCCCAGCCCTGCACCATATAACTAACCCTCTCCTCTCTGTGTCTATGAATCCAACTGTTTTTAGAAGCCACATGTAAGTGAGATCATGCAGTATTTGTCTTTTTGTGTCTAGCTTATTTCACTTAACAAAATTTTCTCCAGGCTCACCCATGTTGTGGCACTTGACAGGATTTCCTTATTTTTTTAAGATGGAATAATTTTTCATTGTGATACACACACACACACACGTACACACAAATATCAAACAACTATTTCCCATTCTTCTGTCAGTAGACACTTAGGTTGGTTCTATATCATGGAATAATGCAGCAATAAACTTGGGAGTGCAGACATCTCTTTGAGATACTGATGTCAGTTCCTTTGGATATATACAGGTAATTCAAAAAGTTCATACTAGAGTGAAACTAAAAGATACACCTATTACGGTGCAAAAAATTTTTAAACCCACACATTTCCATAACACACATTTTCCATGAACTTCTTTGAGATTACTCATATATCCAGAAGAGGTAGGCTGGATCATATAGTACTTCTATTTTTAATTTTTTGAGAAACTTCCATACTGTTTTCCAAAATAGCTGTACCAGTTTACATTCTCACTAACAGCATGCAAGGATCTTCACATTTTCCTCAATGGTTGTTATTTTTGATTTTTTGGTAACAGCCATCACCATTGGGTGGTATCTCAATTTGTTTTTGGTTTGCATTTCCCGGATTATTAGAGATACTGACCACCTTCCTCATATACCTGGTGGCCATTTGTATGTCTTCTTTGGAAAGATGCTTGTTCAGGCCTTTAACAAACATTCTCTGAAGAGGCGTCTTTACTGGAAGTCTCCTCAGAGCCTTTAAGGTGCAGTGCTGTGAATCGCCAAGAAGTGGCCGTGCACTGGAACACCTCCTACGCTGTTTTTGGCCATGGAGCTCTGGCTAGGGAGCATCACTTGGGGAAACTCCCCTGTGCATCACTGCCTTCCCTCGGGTTCCCCATTTTGGCGGCTGTCCCACCCTTCGCTCCGGGACCTGGCCTCACTCTGATATATTTATGGAGAATCTTTGGGTGTAGCCTCAAGTCCACAGACTTTTCCATGAATATGCATGAAACTGCGTCTCTCTGTCCCTGCCAAGTTTAGAATCAGTGTGTGTTCTGCCACAGCAAGTGATCAGACTAAGCCAAGTGATGAATGATTGATGGCGGATCAGACAGCAGATGAGGGGCTGATGAGTTATCCTGAACCTGCCAGGTACCAGGCATGCAAATGTGTTAGCTCTTCCTGAAGGTTTCTGTTCTCAGTTTCCTTACTGTGGAGTAAGGAGAATAGAGTCTACCTCATTTAAGAATGAAATGAGCTAATTCATGAATGGGCTCACAATAGTAAATGCTCAGATGGTTGTTAATTCTGATTGTTGTTATCTATCACTGCTGCCAGGCCCTACTGAGAGAGACATGGAGGACAGCAAGCGTAGCTCATATCCTGCGGGTCCTTTGAGAAATCAGTGATGGTAACTCAGTAGAAGCCCTACCCTTCTCTTTGAGAGAACAAACTGATCAGGGGAGAGGGCCTGGGCATTACCTGGGGGTCCTGGTTGATCTTGGCATTGTCCTTCTCATAGCTATCAATGTACAGCCGGATGGTGGCTCCCGCACTCCCGGTACCGCTCAGTCGGAAGATGATGCGAGAACCATCTGCAAAAATGAGCCGCAAGCCCTGGAAAAGATAAACGGAGATTTCTTTCCCCTCACATCAGATGGGAGGTTGAAGACCGGCAAATTAAGAGGCATCTATCTGAAGACCTAATTTCACCCATATTGACCAACTGGAGGCTTAGATCCTTGATGAATGACAACAATTGGGCCTCACAAGTCTGCCCTCTGTCCGCCTCTCACTGCATCTAGGCAACAGGGGCTTAGCTAACATGGGAGGAACACTTCCAGGGCCATGTGGGAGACCTGATGTCAGTGACACTGGACAACAGGAGGCTTCCCCATGAGGTATGGACCCATCGTTCCAGATTGGATAATATATAAGTAAGTCAAAGCTGCTAGATGGAGAAATCTAACTCCCAGGTCAGGAGGAAAACATGGACAGAATGAGCTGAAAGCAGGGCGGGAGAGGTTTCCGGCAGATGTGGGGAAGACGTCTACAAAACACTGGTAGAGGGCCTCATAGAGACGTCAGGGAGCCTCCTGGCCCAATGGCAGAGCAGCTACTCCTGACCTACCGAGCAGGCCCCCGGGGCAGCCAGCCTCCTGCTGACGCCTGCCGCCTCAACCTGGGGCCCCGTGTCGGGCGGTGTCGAGCCACCCTTCTCCAGCCACTGCCCCTCTTCTCCCTCCCTGGCAATACCGTTGGTCCTCAATGATCCTAGTTCAGGAGGAAAGGCTGAGTATTCACTCCTCAGCCTGTGGGACGAGGGTGGGGTGAGTTGGCCGCCTGCGGATCCTGTCTTTACGGGTCTGTAAATTCTTCATGCAAAGATGAACTTTGCCTAATACCAAAGACTGCAAGGAAGGACGCGGCTTCTCACCTGCTGTTTGTCACCCCTCCCTACTCAGTGCTTAACGGTGCCAATCACTAGTGTTCATTAGTGAAGGCAGCAGGTGAAGTACGCAAAATACACGTCCCAGCCAGTCATCCCGAGAGGATGGAGTTCATTTCCACTTGACATTTCGTGCTTTCTAGAAACCCTAGAGTTAGTCTCCTCCCCCTGCAGCTTCAGCCTGAAGCTTCTAAGTTCTTTTTTCTTGATTGCAGATGTTGTCTCTACTTTGGAAGATTTTCTCTCCTACCTAAATGTTCAGCATTTTAAAAAAAAAGATTTATTTATTTGAAAGGCAGAAGGACACACACACACAGAGAGGGAGGGACAGAAAAAGAGGGATCTTCTATTCACTGGCTCACTCCCCAAATGGCCACAACAAATAGTATGAGCCAGGCCAAAGCTAGGAGCCAGGAACTCCATTCTGGTTTCCCATGTAGGTGGCAGGGGCCCATCCATCGGCTGCCTTCCCAGGAGCATTAGGAGGAAACTGGAATGGAAGCGAAGCAGCTGAGACTCCAACTGGTACTCTGACACGAAATGCTGGAGTCATCCGCGCAGCTTAATCGGCTGTACCCCAACACCGGCCCCAGTGCTCAGGTTTGATTCTAGAACGTGGAGCTGCTGCCTTCTTACCAAGCACAGAGAGCAGCGCCTCCCACACACACCCTTGCTCCCCTGTTCTCTCCCAGCAGGTGTCAGATGCGGCGCAGACTTGGGGGTCCCTTTTCCTGGCCTTTTTGTTCTCCCACTGATCTGCTCGGTCTCACCTGCTCCGCCCCAGGCCTCTTTTGTTCTAATCATCTCAGACATAATTTATAATAATCTAGCCTGGCCTCAAGGTTCTCAGAGATGGTGAAAAGGCATGAAGATGAGAAGCCACTAGGCTAGAATTCTGAAGGAGGGAGACCCCAGGCCCTGCGGGTCACTGTGCCCAGGTTCCATAGACCCTCCCACCACTGCTCTCCTGAGAGAGGCTCTAAAACAAATTGCACAGGCCATCTTCTGCAAACCCTGTTGGACTGGATGCCTTCCAAAGGACTGGGCCAAAATTCTGGACCTATCAGGAAAAAGCAAACCTGGAAGGCTTCGTGCCCTTCTTGATTATCTCTGCTCCTAGCTTACGAGAGACGAGTCCCTTCCACAAGAGGCTGGAAGAAGGCTGACCCGGCCTGCTGCCTGGGGCACCAGGCACACAATGAGGGGAACCTTCACAGGTCTGTCCACATCCAGGACGGGGCAGAGTCTCAACTGTGGGATGCTGCTACACACTGCTGCGTCCCGTGGACTGTGGACAACAGCAGTTGACATTTCTAAGTCTGGGAAGGCCTTGCCTGTGTTTGTCTTCTGTTTTAGAAATTGGAAACACACATGAAAGAAATATGTATGACAATGCCACTCCTGCTGTCATTCTGCAATAATCTGTCAAGAGAAAAGAGAGTTGATACCTATGGCCAGAGTTCTCCCGTCTTTAATTTCCAGGGCTCCTAAATACCTGACATGGCATACTGCATATAATTCTGGAAGGGTCAAAAATTCCTCTTGGGTCTAGGCTAAAGGTCCCAAAATGAGGTCATTAGGGGATTGCTTAGAATCAGGGCAAAGTTCCCTCCAAAAGCATGTGACAGTCACATGAAACTCGGCAGAAAAGTCTGTTGTGGGCAGTCATTTAGCCTACTAGGTAAGATGCAAGTAAGACACCCACATCCTCATCACATCTCACATCAGAACCCACAGAAGGTCCAGTTCCTCACTCTGGTCCGGGACTCCAACTTCCTGCTAGTGCAGACCCTGGGAGGCAGTAGTGGCTTAAGTAAATGGATTTCTGTTACCTACATGGGATTGGGGTGGCTCCTGGCTTTGGGGTGGCTCCTGGCTTTGGTCTGGCCCAGCCCCAGCTGTGGCAGGCATGTGAGGAATGAACCAGCCGATGATCTCTCTCTTTCTACGTCTCTCTATCTCAAATAAACACTTTTTTTTTTTTTTTACATTTAACAAAGAAAGAAAGAAAAGTCTTTGAGAACAGCTACTGGAGAAAAACGAGCCAGCAAAGGAAAAATGACCTCGAAACCTCAGAGACAAAGCCTTGGGGCCTGTCTCCTATAGACAAGGAAATCTGCTCCCACCTGGTTTTTGGAGACGCTTCCATCCACCGGGTCATGGTACTCAAAGTTGTCAGCTTTCTCCACCGTGTAAACCTTGTCATTCGCTGAGAACTGCTTCCCCACGAAGGAGCGATCGAACATGAGGGCCTCCAAGTCCTTCATCATTTTGGTGGCGCCCTCAGCTTCCACCTCCTCATAATCATACCTGGGAGAAAAAGAGGGTGAGTCCCGCGGGCTAACTGCAGCCCACACCAAGGGCGAGCGGCACTTTCTTCATCATCTCTTTGGCCCGCCCCCAAAACCACGGAACTTTAGAAGTCGGCAAAACACATGAGCTTGTCAGTCACTGGGGACTGAACAGGCCGGGGATGAAAGGGTTTGGAGGATTTCGGGAAGGGTTAGGAGCTTCTGAAATGGCAGAACCTGCCCGTCTCGGCTTTTCTACGGGATAAAGCTCTAAGGTGCTTCAAAGGCGCTGGAGAGATCCTATCTAACATCCCGAGGAGGCAGAGTTAAAAGCAACATTATCTCCAGAGAGCTCTTCAAAGATCTGCCATGTGGCTTAGCTGCTTCTTTTCCAAACTCCTTGAGCCTCTTTGGGATGAGGATGACGGCTTGGATGGCTCCTGGCCTGGGACCTGCCTGAGGCGGCTGCGACCTTGGCTAAGGAAAGCTCCAGTCTCCACAGGAGCTTCCTAAGGCAAGGCCAAGGTTTTGCTGACCAGATGCGATGCTTCCCGCCTTTCGGGTACAGTGAAGTCCACTGTGCTTTGGATTCACCCTGACAGCGGAGGCCTGGTGTGGATGCAGAAGGGCCAGGGGAAAAGAGTGCACTGCAAATGAAATTTCATGCCAATTATTTTTCCTCCGAGAATTGTTCTTGACTTCTATCTTATGAACATGAAGACTCTAGCAGGTGGCTTTTCTTGACCTAGTGGCATGCACCCTCTGGAGGGAGTTATTTTTCAGAGGCTCAAGTTAGCAGAATCCATATTTACTTGCAATAGGGAAGCAAATTCACCGTGTGCAAGATGACACCTGTGAGACACGAGAAATACTGGGGAATTAAGGCCAACCCCCATTCTGGCTCCATTATTCTATGATTCAAGGACAAAACAGTCCCCTTAATCTTGAAGTCAGCCCTCTCCCCCTGTTAAAATGATAAACAGCAAGAAATTACAACCAGGTGTGTGTGCTTTACATCTGTGACCTCTGGGTGTTCGAGGCAAATGCTTTCCAAATCCTAGGTACTGCGGGGTGGAACGGAAAGAATCAGGGCTTTGCATCGCATTCACATAGGACTAGCTATGAACGCAGCCTCTACTGATCGCTGCCTGTGCGACCACAGCTGGCTGCCTTGGCTCAGAATCTCAGGTGCCTTATCTATGACCCCTTGGAGGTTAACATGAGACAATGCGTGCAAAAGTACCTAGCATTTTGGTTCCATAAAGACAGTATACTAGAGTCTTAACTAGTTAGAAATGCAGATTTTAAGGATGTGATCCAGAATACTTGTTTAGCAGTCATATTTGACAATTAATAAAAATATGTTAAAAATAGTTTAATATGGGGACTCTGAACGAGCTCCCCTAGCCTTATTCCAGTCTGGCTACTGTTCACTGATTAACTCAGTCCTTTATTTGAAACGCATTTATACAGGGTCTACTGGGAGATAGCTGTCTGGGGATACCACATGGCACAAAAACAGACATGGTCCTATTTCTGTGTAACTGCAGGTCCTTGAAACTTCATGCCTGCTCTTACAGAGTGATTCTTGCCTTGGGTCCCAGGGCTACTGTGGTACCAGGTGTCAGTTATCACTTCTGTCTTCCACAAAAGAATAACTAGAGGGAAGAAGAGATCAATACGTTTCTCCAAAGTTAATAAGGATTCTGATCAAGGAGCCCAGGTTGCTTAGGGTTGGATCCTTTGCTGACTATCCAAAGGTCATGAACTATTACATCTGGAATGCAATAGTTCATCGTCCTCTAGTCAAACTCACTCAGTTACAGAAAAGACAACTGAGGTCCAGAGAAATTCTATCCACACATTTCCTACAGACACATATTTTACCCAGCAAATATTTCCTTTCCACAGTCCAAATTCTAAAGGCCAGGAAAAAACTTTGTTAGATTTTACATTTCTGGGAGAAACGTGTATTGGAAAGATTTTTAAAAATTACTGGTTTAAAAAAATGTAATATTTAAAAAAAATAAGTATGCACGGAAAAGAATTCTTAAGTGTCATTATGCATTTGGTTCACTGCTGAATCCCTGGTGCCTGGCAGAGAGTAGGTAGACAGTAAAGAGTTGTTCAGTCAGTGAATGCGGTACTGACAGCGCACAGCCTTTGGGGATCTATTTTAATGAGTAGGAAATGTTGATTGGGAACTACTCATAATTGTTCCCATAACTTAAACCAAGGTGTCCATACTCTTGGTGACTCAGAATTTACAAAATGCTTGCAGAATCCTATTTCATTCGAGCTTCTCAATAGCGAGATCGCTGTTCCCATTTCTCCAATGAAACAACGGAGCCCAGAGAGATGTCAAATGACTCCCCAATTTAGTAAGGGGCAGAAACCAAATTCTAGCCCATTTTTGAGGAACCAGATCCAGTATAATCACCATGTTCACCCAATGAGTATATTTGAACATACTTATTAGAATGTGTATTCTTTTTGATTATGTTAGTAAAATGTTTCAGGCATGTTCTTCATGGCTGACTTCAAAGTTAACTTAGTCTCATTCCTAACTGAATGATTTTTAAAATCCCCTGTGGGAAGAGGCTGAATGAATGAGGGCTTTCTTATTACTTGACACAGGAAAGACTTTTCGTGCACACGAGAGCCACCTGCCGCCCCGCCCCACCTCTGCCTCACCAGGCTGCAGCTCACCTGGTGAAGAAGTTGCGGCCGAACTTGTGCCAGTGGTCTTTGAGGATGTCCTCCACACTCTGTTTGCGGGTGGCCAGAATGGAGAGCCAGGCAAGCACAGCCCACAGCCCATCTTTCTCACGAATGTGGTCGGAACCTGGCAGGCAGAGCGAGCCGCTGTGAGCAACATGACTTCTCCAAAACACCTGGGCACATCCTCAACAGTGAGCATCCAGGGGCCGATGTGTGGCACCGTAGGTTAAGCCACCACCTGAAGCAGCCACATTCCATATGGCAGTGCTGGGTCAAGTCCTGGCTGCTCCACTTCCCATCCAGCTCCCTGTTAGTGTGCCAGAGAAAGCAGCAGAAGATGGCCCAAGTACTTGGGCCCCTGCCACTTGCCTCAATGACCAGAGTTCCAGGCTTCTGGCTTTGGCCTGGTCCAGACCCAGTGATTTTGGCCATTTGGGCAGTGAACCAGCAGATAGAAGATCTATCTCTGTCTCTGTCTATCTCTCTCTATCAATCTGTCTTTCAAATAAATAAAATAAATTTTTTGGGAGGGGGAGAACCCAGTAAGCATCCAGCAACCACTAAGTAAGTTATAAAACTTTCCTGGCAACTTGAGTACCTGGAGGGAATAATATGCAGATTGAGAGTCCCTAATCCAAACATCCAAAATGCTCCCAAATCTGAAATTTCTTGAGCACGGACACGACACTACTACAGGAAAATGTCACATCTGATTTTCAGCGACACATCATAGTCAAAATGCAGGTGCACTGAAAATGTAGTGTCATACTATTTTCAGGGTATATGGATGCTATGGCTGGAACAGCATTTAGCTCCCCAAGCTCACACAGAAGTTTGAGGCCCAATTTTGCTAATGACGACTGGATTAAGGTTAGAGACTTGATTAGCTGGGTTTCCTGAGGGAGGTCTTTAGATCCTCGAGGGCTTGTCCTCTGTGTGCAGCTCTCACGACAAGGCTGCTTCTTGAGTCTCTCCGCTTCCTGGCTCATCACGTGGCCATTCCTCTGCACACGTTCTGCCATGGCCAGCCTCCACCAGATGTCAGACCAATGGGGCCACCCTGTCTTGGACTGTGAACCCTCAAACTGCAAGCTGAAAGAAACCATTTCCTTCCCCCAAGAAGCTTCTCTCAAGTATTTTAATTTAACAAAAAGCATATAAGGTGCATGTGAAACATAATGAATTCTGTGTTTAGACTTGAGCATCTGCCTCAAGATGCCTCATTGTGTGTGTGTGTGTGTGTGTGTGCATGTATGCAAATTTTCAAAAACCTAGAAAAAGCCAAAATTCAAGATGCTGTGGTCCCAAGCATTTTGGGAAAGGGATACTCAACCTATTTTGAGTAAAGAACATCATACAGAGAAGAAATGGATGACTGTCAAAGCAATTTAGAAATTTAAGGCAAATGCCAATGAAATTGTCAGTGGAATAATTCAGTAGAATATGGTACAGCAATCAAAAAGTATTAATGTTGTTATAACTAGTATTCAAATAGTACTTTACACTTTGTGTTTCTGTGTGGGTGCAAACTGTTGAAATCTTTACTTAATATATGCTAAATTGATCTTCTGTATATAAAGATAATTGAAAATGAATCTTGATGTGAATGGAAGGGGAGAGGGAGCGGGAGATGGGAGGGGTGCGAGTGGGAGGGAAGTTATGGGGGGAAAAAGCCATTGTAATCCATAAACTGTACTTTGGAAATTTATATTTATTAAATAAAAGTTTAAAAAGTATTAATGTAAGAAAAATAAATCAAAATAAATCTTACAGAAACAGTTTAAATAATTAAATTATCAGGGGCCAGCACCGTGGCACAGTAGGTTAATCCTCTGCCTGCAGCGCTGGCATCTCATATGGATGCTGGTTCTAGTCCCAGCTGTTCCTCTTCCAATCCAGATCCCTGCTGTGGCCTGGGAAAGCAGTAGAAGATGGCCCAAGTGCTGGGCCCCTGCACTCACATGGGAGACCCAGAAGAAGCACCTGGCTCCTGGCTTCAGATCAGCACAGCTCCAGCCAATTGTGGCCATTTGGGGAGTGAACCAACAGAAGGAAGACCTTTCTCTCTGTCTCTCCCTCTCACTGTCTGTAACTCTACCTCTCAAATAAATAAATGAAATCTTTAAAATAATAATAATTATTATTATTTCTAGAAGATTTATAAATTAAATTTTTAAATTTTAAATTAAAATTTTTATTTTAAATTAAATTATTTAATTAATAGCCTGCTGGCTCAATGAAACTAAAGAGAACACCTAGAAACATGCAAGCACATATGAAGTTTGAGTTTGGGATAAGGGTGCCACTTCAAGGTTGTGGGGAAAGAATGGATTCATCTCTAAATGATGTTTGGATAGCTGGTTAAACAACTTGGAAAGACTTTAGTTATTTCCTATCAAACACTATCCCAGAAAGAATCCCAGATGAATTAAAACTTGATTTATACAATTTGAAGCCTTTGAATACTATATATATATATATTTACTATCTTGGAGGTGATAAATAAATACAAACACAGTATACAGAGGGGCAGGGTTTGGCACAGCAGTTAAGACGCCCACATTCCACATGGAGTGACTGGGCTTGTGTGCTGGCTCCATTCCTAATTCCGGCCTCCTGCTAATGTGAATCCGGGGAGGAAGCAGGTGATGGCCTGAATACCAGGGTCCCTGGCACCCACAAGGAAGACCTACAGTGAATTCCCAGCTCCTGGTTTTGACGTGGCTCAGCTTTGGCTGCTGTGGGCATTTGGGGAATGAACCAGTGAATGAAAAGCCTCTGTCTCTCTGCCTTTCACTCTCTGCCTTTCAAATAAATAAAATCAGTTTTTAAAAAATTCAGTATTTGGGTGAGCATTTTGCACAATGGTTAAGACAGCACTTGGCATGCCCACAACACATACTGGAGTGAGTGCCTGGTTCAAATTCTGGTTCCACCTCTGACCCAGCTTCCAGCTAACGTGCATCCTGGGAGACAGCAGGTTCAGGTACTTTGGTCTCTGCCCCCGATGTGGTAGACCAGGACTGGGTTCCAACCTGACCCAGCCCTGACCCCAGCTGTTTGGTGCATTTGGGAAGTGAACTTACGAGTAAAAGATCTCTTTCTGCCTTCAAAAAAAGTGAAAATAAACAAATATGTTAAAGAGAACAACAATAAATTAAAAAAGAAAAATGAAATATTCCTTAGAAAATAATGATACATCTGTCTATTTAAAAATTAGCATTTTATGTAGTAAAACTACCACAGATAAAATTCAAAGACCATCAATAAACTTTAAAAAATAAACACATCTACAACCATAAGGTAGATGTTTAACACTCAATAAAGGAATAGTTCTTATATAGTAATAAGAAAAAAGCAAAAACTCACTATAAATAAAAACAGCCTAGAATATAAACAAGAAATTCAACAAGAAATAAATACAGGTAATGAATTAATATAATAAAAAGCTGGCATTTTTTAAAAAAGACATTTATTTACTTGAGAGGCAGAGTTACAGACAGAGAGAGGTAGAGACAGAGAGAGGTCTTCCATCCACTGGCTCACTCCCCAGATGGCCACAATGTTCCGGAACTGGGCTGAACTGAAGCCAGAGGCAGGAGCTTCCTCGGGGTCTCCCACGTGGGTGCAGGGACCCAAGCAGTTACTTGGGCCACCTTCCACTGCTTCCCTAGGTGCATTAGCAGGGAGCTGGGGGAGACTTAACCTACCACACCACATCACTGGCCCCGCATTGTTTTTAAAAAGAAAAATTAGGGGTTGCGCTGTGGCTTAGAGGGTTAAGCCGCTGCCTGTAGTGCTGGCACCCCATATGGGTGCTGGTTCAAGTCCTGGGTGCTCCTCTTCCAATCCAGCTCCCTGCTAATGTGCCTGTACAAAACCTCTGGGGTGGCATCATGCTCCTGGAGCCTCCTTCATCTAGCTATGAGCCTTTCTGCCCACTAACCATGTGCTTCCTGGAGGCATCTCTTATTTATCCTTGTAACTGAGTCTGGTGACTAGCACAGCACAGGGAACATGGCAGGCAAGTGCATGAACAAATGTCTCAATCAACTAATCCACTACTGCAACATTTTCTTTTTGGTTCATAAAAATATACTACTTTTTCTTTCAAAATGTATTCTCTCTTATGAGACACCACTTTTAGAACAGTCCTTAAAACTTGCATGCTGGCAAAAACTAGAGACAGTAGGCAATATTTTTAGTGCTTTACATAACGAACTTTAGATTTGTTTACCCAGTTTTATTATAAAAGACACTTATTTGCCTTTACTGCTATTTTAAGTAATAACAAGTTAGCTCCCTGCCTCTTACAGCTTTTGCAAATGAGGATATGTTTTGGCAACAGTTCCTCCTGAGAAGCAAGGTTCTGGCAGCTTCCCCGATGTACTGGGAATTCACGACAGCAGTACACAGCTTGGAATTATTTATCGGTACTCCATGGGCCATTTTTCCTCCTTTTTTATCAAATTTTTTTCTTTTTTCCTTCTGGTACTTTTTTTTGCTTTGCTTTGCTAGATGGAAAGCATGGAAGCAGTGTTTCTGCTCTAGTAAGGAACTTGTCTTTTTTCTTTCATGTGGAAATTAAAATAAAAAGTAAAAATCTCATCCAGCACTCACCAAGTTACTGGAGATAACTAAATCACATACCTAATATTATGGTAACATAAACAACCATGCTATCCCACTCACAATGATCCTCAGTCTCTTTGGATATTCTGATTAATTTCACAAATCACATTAGATGTGCCAAAGCTCTAGGCAATTCAATAAATACTCAGAAAGGCTGAGTAGGTTTCATTTCCTTCAGTGTTCTGATGAATGGTGACAGGTTTCTAGCCAAAAAGGGCAACACTGCATGTGTGTGTCTCCAAAACTATTGTTTTTACAGTTGTGGCTCATGGGAAAATGCTTTGCTTTTTAAGAATCAGAACGCTTGAATTGGAGGCTCTGTTCCTGATAAGCTATTTGAATTTGGACAAGTCACTTCACTTTTCTGAGCCTCAGTCTCCTAGACTACAAAATGGGAATTATGCTAAACTCATACCATTGCGAGAAATTACTGTGATAAAGCAAGTAGGGGTAGTAGTTTACAGATGGTTAAGTACCATATGAATGCAAGCT